AATTGAACCAGCTTGTCACAACCTATTTCCAAATGGGGAAAGAAAAACACCAGAAAACCATAGGAGTGAGCAAAGGTGGTTTGTTTTGTTCAATAAAGATTGGAAATATCCCATTTTCTTTTGTGCAAAATATCTGTAAATACTGAGACACAGCCAACCAAGCCTGCAATCCCAAACCTTCCAACGGTAGCTGAATCTCTCCCGCATGGATTCTTAAATGTCCATTTGCTTGCTATGGTAATTTATGTCACTCTCCATTGTATTCTACACCTAATGCACAGCTGGTGTTCTAATGTAGATTTTTTCGCTCCTGAAGCCCCATTATCCTCTTTGGAAATGATGACAAGCACAATTTTTTTGGACAATTATTTTCCACAGTCTCTGAGTCTCTAGTCATGTTTGAAACATTTTATTTTGCCAAAAAGGGTGAGGGAAAAGACACACGCAGCAGCCAGATCATAGGGCAGTTCAAAAAAGTAATGATGCCATTAAAAAAAACTGATATCAACAGGTAGAGGTGCTCTGTTATGGCATGGTGTGGTCTTGTGATCACAGTTCAAATGCAACATTAGTAATTGGGATACCATAGAATCAAAGAGTGGGAAGGGGCCCAAAGGACCATCTAATCCAACCCATACTAATACTAGACTTCATAGTTAAAGCATCCCTGAGGCCATTCAATCTCTAATTCCATTCTCAAACAGCTCCTACCTTCAGGATGTTCTTCCAAATGCTTAGTTGGAATCTTGGTTTGTTTTTTTTCTTGTAATTTGAATTTTTTGGTTCAGGTCCTTAGTCTCTGACACAGCAGAGAACAAGGTATATCCAGACTAAGGGCCTCGGCAGACGACTAATTGAGTCGTCTTGGAGGCCAGGAAGAGGAGGAGCAGCCGCATGCATGACGCTCCTTCCTCTTCCTGAGGTTGCCCTCGAAGCTGCCGGCTGTCCGCATGGCCAGCGCACCCAGGGCAACCTCCCGCTGCAGTGACTGCAAGCACAGTGCGGAGGCTGCGCTCCCGCGACGCTCCATCCCAGGGCATCCCTGACGCCCTGGTGTGCTTCCCCCCTTAGGGTCTCTGCAGACTGGCCCAAAGGGCCGGCCTGGAGGTAGAGTTGGGGTGGGGCAGCTGCACGCTGGCCACCCCAACCCCACACTGACGCCATCCTGATGCTGCATGCCATTATGCATGGTGTGCAGTGACAGGATACCCTTCTGGTACAGCGTTCAAACACACTGTGCCAAAAAGGGCATTGAAGAGCTGTGCGCTAGCTCTCAGGGCAGCCTTTTGCTGCCCCTGAAAGGAGTGGCATTTTGCTGCTCTTTCCAGGGCAGCAAAAGGGAGGATCAGGGCCATGGTATGGGGTTGCCATGCCCTGATCCACTGCTTCCTGGGGCACCCCAGAGTTGTTTGGCTGCAAGCCCCCTTAGGGGCTCTGCAGACACAAAGTGCCATCTTGGAACCAGGGAAGGGGAGGAGCAACTGGACGCCAGATGCCCCATCCCCTTCCCGAGGACATCATCAGAGTGCTCGCTGTTGCACACGGTGAGCGCTCTGATGACATCCTCCCGGCACAGCATCCGGACACGCTGTGCCAGAAGAGACGAGGAAGAGACATGTGGCATCTCTTCGGGTGCCCCTTTTGCCCACTCTGGGCTGGCAGAAAGGTGGATTGGGGCCACTGCATGTATTAGCAGCAGCCCCAATCCTCCACTTCTCAAAGCGGCCCATGCCCACCCATCTGCATCTCCCCCCCCATCAGTTATTATATTTTTCTGACTGAGATCAATGGGCTTCAACCTAGACATAATTATGTGACTTTGATTTCAATTGAAGTCAATTCTAGCAGAATTTGGAATAAATACTTTTTGGACTATAACTCCCAGAATCCTTGTGTCATCATGGACAGAGTAAACAGGGGGAATTCTGGTTGTTGGAGTCCAAAAAGTGAATGTTTCATGTTCTGTGGGATTTGACTCATTTTTAAAATGACTAACCTATCTGATATGGTTGTTATGAGGTTAAAAGTCTTAATATAGCCCAGGGTATATAGATCTACCATGTAACAATGGAAAGGAGCTTCTCTGAATCACTCAGGCTCAAAATCTTAACTGTCCCTATGCCTGTGAAACTGGATTTCTACATCACAAGAGAAAATGAGCCCTTTTCATCACCTCTATTTTCTATCAGAGATTGAAAATGCAATTGTTTGTTTGTTTGTTTGTTTGTTTTGGATGCAACACAAACAAGAAAATAACACATGTTTTTATCCTAGACAGGTTTCCCTTGCTTGGGTGGATTGTGGATCTTGATCGTCAGATTAAATTACACTTGCATTATAAACTCCATGGGGCAGAGTTGTTTTTGCAGCTATTGCTTATGCTACTCTGAAAAGTGCAATGTATATTAAGGGTGCACTAACTGTAAGTATTTGTTGTGTGTCTTCAAGTTGTTTCCAACTTATTGCAACACTAAGGTGAATCTTTCATGAGATTTTCTTGGCAGGATTTGTTTAGAGGGGGTTTGCCTTTGTCTTCCTGTAAAGCTGAGAGAAGCCCAAGATCACTCAGTGGGCTTCTGTGGCCTAGAAGTGATCCATTGTTCCCAGAACCCTAGTCTCTAAAGATAGTCCAGCATCAAAACACTACAGTACATTGGCCCACAATCATAAATATACCTCCTCCTTGGCATGGACAAGAGTTGCCAGAGTGAAAACTGGAGGGGGCTCATGTACCTTTAATGGCTGAGTAAAAGAGGAAATTTCAGCAGGTGTTGCTTGTTATTTAATCATGGGACAAGGAACACTTGCTGAAATTGTCTTGTCTACACAAACATTAAAGCAGGGGTAGGCAACGTAAGGCCCAGGGGCCAAACGCAGCCCCCCGAGGCCTTTGGACCGGCCCCAGGCCGGTCCTGCTGCTACCGCAGCCACCCCCCCCCCACCATGATGATATTGATTACTGTTGTTATTACTTGTTCTTGGGGTTTTCTTGGTAAAATCTCCACAGGGGTTTTGCCATGGCTTTTCTGGGGCTGAGAGAGTGTTCATGCATATTTTTTTAATTTTTAATTTTTTAAAAATATATATTTTTATTTTTATTTTTATGTATGTATGTATGTATGCATTTATTTATTTATTTATGGTGCTTCAGCCCCCCAATTGTCTGAGGGACAGCAACCCAGCCCCTGCCTCAAAAAGATTGCCTACCCCTGCATTAAAGGTGCAGACAGTGACATGGTGTCACACCCCCATTGCCCTTCTCCTATACCATACCATACAGAACCCTTAGCAATGTGTTTTGACCTGTTACTCATAAATAGTAATTCCCATATGTCACTGAATGTAGGGCTAATAGTTGTGATGTAAACAACTAGCAAAATTAAAATTATACATTTAAAGTACACTATCATGCGCACAACCTAAATGTATGTACATGTACATAGTTTCATGTAATCAAAATGAAAATTTTGTGAAATATGATTTTTTCAAAGATTTTTTTAAATGAATAATTTTAAAATCTGTAATATTTAAAAACATTTTTAACTGTTACATTTTATTTCTAAAAAAAACAAAACAAAACAAAACCCCTGGGGCTTCTCTTTTCTCTTCCCAATGAACCTTACCCTTCTGATACCATCTCTTCAATGTTTTAAAGGGATGCAGGTGAACACTACAGCCTGTTCCTGTCCAAAGGTAGTTGTTTGGGAAGCAGTCACCCCACCTTAGGGCTGTCACCTGGTGTGGCTCACATCCCCCTAGTAATGTGCCTGGGTACAGTTATCCTCTCCAGTTTTCTTGCAACCCTGCAACCCTGCTGGAAAAAGTGGTATCTCTTAGCTCTGATGTCAGTATGGTGGTGAGTCTGGTCTTGGTTTCATTCTGGACTTCCAAGGATTTATCCATAGTTCTCTACTTTATCCCCAAAATAGATGTGATACTTTAGATTGTTCCTTTAAAGTTTTTGTTAAAACCCCAGAATGCACTCAACTGCCCCCTGGTTTGAATGATGTAATTTGAATATCACTCCTAGATGTGCCCATTTTCATTTGCCCTCATCTGATAGTCCACCAAATGCCTTGAAGATTTCAGCCTGTTTTCCTTCCTTGATATGATATCATATTTTATTTATTTATTATTAAAAAAACACTTAAATGTTAGAGACAAATTGTTTATTCTCCTCTTCCTATTAGCCTCAAAACACAGGCCAAGAGGTTAATGAACTCAACTGCCACCCAAATAACAACAAGTAGACCATTTGCTTTCATAACTGACACAGACAATGAATACAATAGAATGTATCCCTGCTGAACCACTTAAATGATTTAGGAAAGGTTTTTGGTCTTGAGAGCTGCCAATCAGAAGGCAATACAGAAAGAAAGAAAGAAAGAAAGAAAGAAAGAAAGAAAGAAAGAAAGAAAGAAGAGAGAGAAAGAAAGAGAGAAAGAGAGAGACAAATATTATCGAAGAGTTCAGCTGCCTTTGTCTGAGTTTTGAAAGCAACAACCTAGAAAAGGAGGCATTTGGCATGAAAATATAATATATATTAGCTATTTTATTGTTGATGTGTGCCTTCAAGATGTTTCCAACTTATGGCAGCACTATGGGCCTCGGCAGACGACTAATAGAGTCGTCTCCGAGGCAAGGAAGAGGAGGGGCAGCCGCACGCTCCGAGGGCAACCTTCCGCCGCAGTGTCCACACATGCTGCAGCGGATAAGTAAGGGAAAGTGTGCCCTACACTTTTAGGGTGCACTTTCACTGACTTCTGAAAGGAGCGCTGATTTAGCGCTCCTTTCAGAGGCACCGACGGTGCGCCTTGGTGCGGATGCCACGGTCCCACGGCACACCGTCCCAGGGCGTCCTGGATGCCCTTGTCTACTTCCCCCCTATGTGAACCTATCATTGGGTTTTCTTGAGATAAATTGGTTCAGGGGAGGTTTGCCATTACCTTCCCCAGAGGCTGAGAGCATGCAACTGGCCCAAAGTTACCCAGTAAGTTTCATGGCCAAGTAGGGAATTGAACCCTTGTCTCCACAGTCATAGTACAACACTCAAACCATTATGCCAAACAGGGTCTCCAACTAAACTAGTCCAGTTGGTTTCATTAACTTAATATAGGGCCTCTGCAGACGGGCCCTTTGCAGTGTCCTTGAGGCAGGGATGGGGAAGGGCAGCCCCACGCCGGCCACCACAACCCGTCCTTGAGGACATCCTGATGCCATGCACCATTATACATGGTGTGTGACATCAGAACGTCCTCCTGGCACAGCGTCTTGATGCGCTGCACCAGAAGGGGTGCAGAAGAGCCATTCGGCAGCTCTTGGGGCATCCTTTTTGCTGGCTCTGAAAGGAGAGACATTTTGCTGCTCTTTTCCAGGCTGGCAAAAGGGACGATTGGGGTCGAGGCATGGGACAGCCTCGGCCCCAATCCTCCGCTTCTGCCCAGGGCTGCCCGTCTGCATCCCCCCACAGATTACTTAAGGTGGAGAAAAGCATCTCTAGCACTTCTGTTCCTTGTGTTTTAACTCTTGACATACAACAAGACTGCTTTTGGCCAGACTACATGACGAAATCCATTCACATTCTACATGATTAGAATATGAATCCATCACATGTGATTCACAGGTATACAGACTCCTCAAATTCTGCAGAAAATGGACTTGCAACTTTTACCAAGGTATCTGCAAGGATGCACATTACTGGATGTGTGTCCATCTGATTTTCATGCTTTCACATAGCAGTACATTTCAGCAGAGAGCAGGCAGCTGGACAGGTGGATGTGCTTTACTACTAAAAAAAATTATTTGTATTTTGGTGCATATAGAATTTGCCTATTCTCCTTGGCATTTTGCAGCATTTTTTTGTTATTGTTCCCCCCTCCCCCCAACTGAACCTGGCTGTTTGAAACTGGAATTAATTTCCACATTTTTAAACCCCACTCCTGAAGGCAATGGGCATTTGAAATGATAAAGGTACTTAGCTATGAAGGAGATATGCAAATGCTTCTTTAGCTCCCTCACATTGGCAGAGAGAGTGCGCGGGGGTGAGTGGGTGATGAAACATTCCCAATGTCATCTTCTCCCTCCTATCTTCTTCTAGTTATTAACTTTTTCTGTCCTATTAAACCTCCTGTAACCCTGATTCACTGTGTCCTTTTCACTTTTTTCAACAAACACCACCCCCCTACATTATGCAGCAGCCCTTCTCCTCCCACTGACCAGCGCCTCCTCCCACTGCTCAGGAGGCATCTCAGAGAAATAGGCAAGCTTGCAATGAGAGCCATACAGCACTCCAAAGTGTCTTTGCTGGCCAAAGACTGCACAAAACAATGATATCAGTAGCAACACACAAATGGCAACAGAAACAGAAATGCATATGTTCTCCCTTTGATTGATAGCCCCTTCCCAAATAATGCACAATGACCAGTTACATGTTGGCACAAATAATTTGTAAACACTTCCTTCTTGCCTACCATTATCCAGTCATTCCTTCATATCCATGGATTCAAATACCCACTGCTTGGAAATATTCAAAAGAAGTATAAATTCCAAATAGCAAGCCTTGATTTTGCCATTGTATTTAATGGGACTGGAGCATCCATGGATTTTGGCATCCATGGGGGGTCCTGGAACCAAACCCTGGTGGATAACAAGGACCCACTGTATTTCGTAACAGCACTAAACTTGAACAATATAATGTACATAGATGGAAAGATACAGGAATGCTCTCGGGAGACAAAGGGTCATTGCAGACTGCCAGAAATAGTGCACATTAAATGGAGGCACTGCCCTGGCTTAGTGCTAGAGAGTCATGGGAATTGCATTTTTTTCTGAGACATTGAGCCTTCTCTGTCAGAGAGCTCTGGAGCCACAATAAATTACAGTTCCCATGATTCCCTAGCACTGAGCCAGGGCAGTGCCTCAATTTAATGTGCACTATTTCTGGCAGTCTGCAAAGGCCAATAGTGAAGAAAAATGAACTTATATTTAAAGGTGCAAAAATCAACCACAAATTGCATAACACACTTATGCATAGACAGGGCCTTTGTTTCTTCCTCCAAATCAACAGGTGCTCCCTTGCATGAACCAAGCTTTGCTTCTGTCCCTACAGAGCTACTAGTTTTCTCTGGTCTGGCTGGGATCCTCTTCTCCTCCTTCATCCAAGGAGGCTTTATCCGGGTAAAACATGACACCAACACATAATGTACATATTCAGTCCATGATTATCCATAGCGTTCCAGATGTGTAACCATTACACAAGCTGTAGTGCATTCCTGGATGGTGCATAACTATTCATTAGTGACTGTTATGTACTGGGATTTCAGAAACAGCCTTCCTGCATTCTTCATTGCATATGGCAGAATAAGTAGAGGGATTGGCAGTTAAACAATTGACTGCATACCATAGGTATTCAGAAGAAATGAGTAGTGCAACCGCCATTTAATTATGTGTGCATATAGTTATACTATGCAAACATAGTGCAGCATCTCAGCTAAAGTATGGCACCCTAAGAGTCCAGAAACAGAATGGCAATATTAATGGGTGCTGACTTAACTGTACCAAGAACAGGAATGATTCCAAATAATGATATAAGTAGAAACCTAACATGTGCTAAGATAAGGATGATACAAACATATTGACTGTGGAACATTTTATCAATATATGCATCCCTGGCAATGCAACACTGTTATGCCATAGAAAATAAATGATAGATTTCCAGTACAAATCCTTCTTCAAGGACAGAGATATTGCAATTAAAATGGTATAATAAATTACATTATTAAAAAGAAGAAGAAGAAATCATTAGTGCTCCAGTATAGTTAAAATGCAATAATCTCTTTTGGTCTGTTCACAATGTCATGATTTAAGGAACTGGGGGGAAAGTCCCGTCTTAGACAAAAAGGGATTATTTTTTTTTTCATAGGCCAATTAATCAAAACAGGACAAGAAACAAATTTTCCCCAAACCACTATGATCACAAACTCAGCTGTTGCAATGTTACAGTCTGGCATTCATAATCCACTCTGTAGAGACTACCATGCCTGCAAATTTTAGTGTTATAGTGACATTATATATCTTGAAGCAACAAGCAATCCCTACATCAAGAAAGTCTTTGAAAACTGCAGTTATCTAAGCCTATTTGCAGTTCAGAACTTCCTTTGTGCAAACCTTACAGATGGTTGCTATGTATGGAAAATAGCATTTTCTGCACAGAGAACATTTTTCTGTGCAGAAAATAACACTTTTTTTGCAACAATTTCTTATGCATTAAAAAAAAACCCTCTTTCCTCCACAGAAAATGCTGTTTTCTGCACAACAGAACCACATGCAAAACACCAGGTGCAGCTTTTTCTGTGCAAGAAATAATGGAAAAAAATCTATTTTATATGCAAAACTACCACATGTCAGTTCTGCACAGATTCAACAGGATTGGAAGGATTCTGGTTTGAAACTGGCAAATTTCTGAAACACCATATAAGCATGTAGATTGAATCTTGCTACCAGTGCTCACATCTAGTACAGGTATTCAAATGTGGCCTGAAGACCTACTGTTCTGTCATTAACTTGATATTCTGATGTATGTCTAGGGACCTTATCCCACGCTGCTCTCAAAAGTGGCAAGAAAGCGATATGAGCATCATTGCAGTACTATAGCGCTAGTATAAATATGGCACTAGCGCTATAATAGCGCTATGGATAAGCTAGCGCTATTGCAATGCCCGCTGAAACCGACATTCAAAAGAACCCGAATGATGCTGCATTCCAAGCGGTTTCTTGTTTGATTCTGAGCGACGTCGTGTAATCACCCGGAAAACTATAGCGCTATAGCGCCTGATTCTTAGCCGATTCTGAGCGACGTCGTGTGATCACCCGGAAAACTATAGCGCTATAGCGCCTGATTCTTAGTGCATTCTGAGCGACGTCGTGTGATCACCAAGGAATGTATAGCGCTATAGCGCCTGATTCTTAGTGGATTCTTGCTGCTTTTGGCCCCGTGGGATAAGGACTATGTCAGCATCATGGTCCTTATGTGATCCTGCAATCCTTGACTACTATATTTGAACAGTATGTGTGTTAATGTGGGATGATGGCTTATGCTGTCCTATTGGTGATGCTAGGAAAATAAAATATTGCCTATCAATCATGGTCTGGGATCATTAACACATATGTGGGAGGAAGTATGCAAATTACCAAGTCTGCTCTTGTAGGAAGCTGTAGCTTGGTATGGGGAGAAAATTAGGATGGGTAAGATGTGGGAAGACTGCATGTTTTGAGTTGCTGATGGCTTTTGTAATGGGTGTTTGAACTTTACATATACTGTATACCTGGAGAAATTCTTCATTCCTGACAACAGTTATGTACTGTGATCTACTCTGCTTGCTTAATAAAGCTTTTCTGAATCTGCTGAAAGCTTGTGTTCCTGGAGTGGAGTGAGCCTGTACATTAGGCTGTTCATGTATTCAGGATAACAGGAGTAACTTGAATGCACAAGGAGACAGAGAAGGCTAGATTCAACATCTCAGTCATATTTTTCTTCATTTGAAAAGCAAAAGTCTGAAGAGGAATCATAACTCCAGGGGTGATTAATGAATGCAATAGGGGTCTACACATTAGAAGATGATATCCAAGGTGATATACACTATCTCTAAACAATGTTCAGCCCCACCTTGGACAGCTTGTATAAATTTCCAAAACCAGAGTAGATGCACCTGGTCCATTACTATTAGAACCGGCAGCCACTATTGCATACTTCCACACACGTAACTTCTCCATACAATAGGAAAGCATGATTTTTCATGGTTTCATATCCCATGGAAAGCCTGCACATCTAGGGGAAGCTTTCCTTTTCAAACTATTACTCCTCCAAATGAAGAATGTGTGTTTTATTTATTAGCTTTTGTATATTTTTAAATTGATTTCATATTGTATAATGTGTGTGCTTGGTGTGAAGGTTAATTGTTTTAATTTTTATTAAGTTTTTTTGTTTGTTTGCTTGCTTGTTTGTTAACAGATCCTCATTGGAAAATGCCTTAGGTCCCATTCTAGGAGAAAAGTGGCATATAACTAAAATTAA